TACATGACAATGAGCTGAGCCTCCTGGGAATGTTGGCGAAGCAATTCACGGATCCGCATCTGTCTGTTGGTCTGAAAGGAAAAAAAAGATTTCAGGCGAAAAAATGTCGTGATTTATTGATGTTTACTAAAGTCGAGTTCCATGCACTTGGCAAATCAAATGAACTGAGAGTTGTAAGGAAAAATGGATTGAAAGTGATCAATCTCATTATTGAAAATCAGCCTCCAGAATGTCAAAGGTTGGACCACAAACAAAAATTATACAGAGCATTATTTCCCTTTGACATAAAGCATGTGTTTCCTTCGACATGCAGCCATCCAGAATAATCTGAGAGATCTCTGAAAGGCTCCCTGAAATGAATTGGACACTGAAACAAAATAATAAAGCCAACCAAGAACAAAAAGTGTGGTGTTTTCTATTAGGCCAAAAAAAAAAGTCGGTCTCTGGTCGGCGCGCGCGTCAATCTTTTTTTTTTCCAAAATGTTCCGTGGTAGCTCCAACAGCGCCCTCTATTGCCGCACATCCTCAATTTTTTTTTTACCAAAGAGCACCAAGGAATTGGAAATTGCACCAAGAGAGCACCATCGAGAGCACCAAGGCAAATTATGGAGGACACCAATGAACATGAGGACACCAAAAAAGCAACATAGTACCCCACCTTGGGCCAGGTTTGCACAAGGACTATAGTTGACCAATGGTTAACTAACGTTTGCCCGAACTCTGTCTAGTCGACGGTGATTGACTACGCTAGTCGACTATTTGGAACCAGCCTACTGGGGTTGGTTGCTTCGCTGGTAACCAATAGCCGTGCGTATTCATAACGCTAGCAGAGAGCAAAAAAAAAAGCCGCGTCCCCGCGTCAATTCCGGAACTTTGGTCTGACCAGAGACCGAATATTTTTTTTTTGGCCTTACATATAAAAAGCAACTGTGTGGTAGGGTAGGTAAAAATCTGTTTTGGGGGGTTTGACATTTCTATAGCCTAAAAATATAAGGTGGGATGATAGTCATTAAAATTTACTTTTTTTCTCTATTGTGCATGCATTAGTTAACATGTGAATCATTCTGCACTTCTGACCAACTTACACAAAAATAAAAATAGTTTATAGTTTTCACTATAGAAGGGGGGGGGGGTGCTTGAGCGCAAGGAGGAGATTCTACCTTCTCTTTGAGCATGGTGACTTCTTCCTTGCTGATCTTCCAAGGAAACTTCTCCGTGGTCTCCAGGCTGCTTCCTCATCCAGCATCCAGGGTTTGGAGAGCTCCTTGATGATTGTGTTGGTCTTGATCTTACCCAACCCACCAATCTAGACGGAAACCAATCAGGAAGGAAAATTTGAATGCATTTGCTCTAAATAAATTGTGTCTAGGTCTTGGAAAAGACCAACGTTAGTGCTGCAAAAAGCGAGAAACCTGGACAAATCTGGTTTAATGATCTTGTTATACATTTTGCAACTTTGACTTAATTCTTTAAAGACCTGCTTGCATTTTACTCAAACTGTTCATCAAAATTCATTACGCAAAGTCTGTGAGTACATATTTCGGTACTCAAAATACTCATCGAAATATTCTGCTCACCCTGTATGTTGAAATCACAAAAACTAGGTACTACGCGTTAAGTTACGGAAGACAGATAGTGCCACTCAATGAGTGTGAATATATTTCTTTGGTGCGTGTGGGAATATTTTTTTTGTACAGCGGCCGCCACTTATTATGTGGCGGCCGTGAAATAATAATTGGCGGCCGCTACATAAGTCGTCATAATAAGTGGCAGCCGCTGTACAAAAAAAATATTTTCACACGAACAAAAACAAATATATTCACACTTTTTTATGTGGCGGCCGCCAGATAATAAGTGGCAGCCGCCACATAAAAAAGTGTGAATATATATTTTTTTGTACAGCGGCCGCCACTTATTATGGCGACTTATGTGGCGGCCGCCACTTATTATCTGACGGCCGCCACATAATAAGTTGCGGCCGCTGTACAAAAAAATAATTTTTCACACACACCAACAAAAAAATATTCACACTCATTGAGTGGCACTATCCATCTTCCGTATAAAGTGGGTACTGGGAAGAACTCTAAGTGTATTGTCTCCATGCATGGACAAAAGAGGGCGCTTTATAGTCAAACAAGCAGAAGCCGGAATGAGGGACACTTCACTGGTTCACTCATGCTGGTTATCTTTCATTTTGGTACCAGCATTTATAAGCCACGATTGCGCCCAAAAGGCCCTCGTTTATAGTTTTCTCTTTGGAGGGGGGGGGGGGGGGGTGCTTGAGCGCAAAAAGGAGATTCTACCTTCTCGTTGAGCGTAGTGACTACTTTCTTGCTGATCTTCGAAGGAAAGTTCTCCGTGGTCTCGCCTGCTTCCTCATCCAGCATCCAGGGTTTGGACAGCTCCTTGCTTTAGTTAACATGTGAATCATTCTGCACTTCTGACCAACTTACACAAAAATAAATATGAAGTTTATAGTTTTCACTATAGAAGGGGGGGGGGGGTGCTTGAGCGCAAGGAGGAGATTCTACCTTCTCTTTGAGCGTGGTGACTTCTTCATTGCTGATCTTCCAAGGAAACTTTTGGTCTCCAGGCTGTTTCCTCATCCAGCATCCAGGCTTTGGAGAGCTCCTTGATGATTGTGTTGGTCTTGATCTTACCCAACCCACCAATCTAGTCGGAAACCAATCAGGAAGGAAAATTTGAATGCATTTGCTCTAAATAAATTGTGACCAGGTCTTGGAAAAGACCAACGTTAGCGCTGCAAAATGCCCAAAACCTGGACAAATCTGGTTTAATGATCTTGTCCTTGAACCGTCTCAGGCTCTACACCTTGGGCTTCTTGTTCAGGTCCGGGATGACCTCCACGTCCCAGTAGTTGATGCGGAACTTGCTGAGCATTTTGGCCATGTTCATCTTCTCCCTGTCCATTTGCTCCTTCTTGCCCGTGGTGGCAAAGACGCGCAGCTTTCTCCCAGTTGGATTTCATGGAGATGAGGTGAGAGATGAGTAGGGTCAAGCCTGGGGGTGGTGGGAGGTGGGGGGTTCACAAACAAAAATTATACAGAGCACTATTTCCCTTTTACTATAGCAGCCTTTGACATAAAGCATGTGTTTCCTTAGACATGCAGCCATCCAGAATAACCTGAGAGATCTCTGAAAGGCTCCATGATATGAACTGGACACTGAAACATATATTAAAATAATAAGGCCAACCAAGAACAAAACGTGTGGTGTTTTCTATTACATATAAAAACCAACTGTGTGGTAGGGTAGATAAAAATCTGTTTTTGGGGTTTGACATTTCTATAGCCTGAAAATATAGGTGGGATGATAGTCATTGAACTTTTGTTCTCTATTTTGCATGCATTAGTTAACATGTGAATCATTCTGCACTACTGACCAACTTACACAAAAATAAATATAACACTGATAGTTTTCACTGGGCGGGGGAGGGGGGGGGGTTGAGCGCAAGGCGGAGATTCTACTTTCTCGTTGGGCATAGTGAATTCTTCCTTGCTGATCTTCCAAGGAAACTTCTCCGTGGTCTCCAGGCTGCTTCCTCATCCAGCATCCAGGGTTTGGAGAGCTCCTTGATGATTGTGTTGGTCTTGATCTTACCCAACCCACCAATCTAGACGGAAACCAATCAGGAAGGAAAATTTGAATGCATTTGCTCTAAATAAATTGTGTCCAGGTCTTGGAAAAGACCAACGTTAGCGCTGCACAAAGCAAAAAACCTGGACAAATCTGGTTTAATGATCTTGTTATACATGTTGCAACTTTGACTTAATTTGTTTAAGACCTGCTTGCAGTTTACCCAAACAGTTCATCAAAATTCATTCCGCAAATTCTTCTTCAAATACTCAACTGTGAGTATACACATTTCGGTACTCAAAATACTCATCGAAATATTCATTAAAATAATTCACCAGAGAAACATAAGACTTGTAAAAAGGTACTCAACTAATACAAAACCTCATGATTCATTGAAAACAAATGAATCGACTCATAAAGTAGTACTCAGTAAAAAGTAGTCTACTTGTCAAAAAAAACTACTCAACTCGTACTCGACTTATATCGCAGACTGCTTCAATCGTCAAGCAGAGTTTGCTTAAAAGACCGAAGTTATCAAACAGTACTTCAATCCATTTAAAACTGGTGTTCCAGAGTCCCTAACTGAACTCAACTAAACTCAACTTAAATAGATTCAACTTTCAAACACAGGCAAAGTTCTTGTATTAATTTTCCATTGATTAGACGCTGGAGTCATTCTGAACGACTGCAACACTCAATCTTTGGACGACTTTCATGTGTAGTTGCTCCTCAATGTTTCAAACATCAAACTTAATTCAACTCTTTGGAATAATTTAGTTCGGCACTTCTCTGAATGCTAGTCTGAAATGCGTGTAGTTGTCAAAAGGTACACAACTCATCAAAATGCACAAAACTTGAGCTATCCACGCATACTCAGGTCTGACCCTGATCCCCCTCATAAGCCTACCTGCATGAGTGCCTGTGCCCCGGTTCTTAGCGTAGGGCTTGCTACCATGGCTGGGAATGCCTTGATCTTCTGAACATCCACCTATTTCTCCTGAGAGTCTGTCAGAAGCTCCATCAAATGTATACTCTGCTCACCCTGTATGAAAGGCGGGACAAAATGTTTCCCCTTAAAGCTTAGCATCTATACTTTACTAAAGAAATTAATACTCTACTAAAATAATAATTAAAAATATAATATCTCTCAAATTGTTCACACAAAAAAGACAAATCACCCACTCTTCATGACATTTATGTTTATGTTACAAACAACTTGCAACTGAAGCAGATTACTTATGATCCGCAATGCTAGGTTCTGATCTCACTGCTTCACAAGGACAAACTTTTGTCAAATCACAGACAACTTGCGACCGTAGCAGATTACTTACGATCAGCACTGCTCAGCATATGAGAAGGCTTGTGTTCTTGGTGATATGGGGGACGAAGTGAACCAGGGCAGGCCTGCATCCAGGGCGACCAGTCAATGCAATAATCTGTGGCCTGTACAGGGAAATACAACAATCCACAAATTGAAAGGAAAAGGGAATAGAACCTGGGACCTCTGGATTGCCGTTCCAGTGCTCTACCAACTGTGCTACCAAGCTCCATCGTCTTTAGTCTCCCACTTTGTCAATGTCTATGTTAAGAAAAGGCATTGGTCAGAGTTGTAATGACTCGAGTCGACTGGAGTCACAATTTTATGCAAAATTTATGTTCACGTTACTTTGCGAATACAGTACGTTACAGCCGCTTGTAGTGTACAAACATACAACGTGTCAGGCCCGTAGGAAGCTATCAATATTTGGTCAGGCTCATCTCAGGGCAGGGAGCTGCTCCATGGTTGATGCGAGCGCGCAGCGCGAAGCCCTAACGGCGTGGGGTTCAGGGCCTGCTTAAGGGCCCCGAAAAAAATGTTGGATTCTAGACGCTCTGTGGTGCGATCTGAGGCAATTTCTGACCACTTTAACCTTTTTTGAGCTATCATCATTTAAACATCATATTCAAGTTTGGAGTCAATTATCTTTTAAAAAAAATTTAGCGTGAGAAATCCCATGTCGGCGTTAAAGCATGAGAATAACCTGAAATGTGTGAGTCTTACGCTCAATGCGTGAGAGTTGGCAGGCCTGCAGAGGCGGATTCAGGATTTGACCCAATCCCTCCCAAATTAAATGTAACCAAAAGCCACTCCCCTTCCCAACACTATCAATATTTGTACAGAAATACATGTGCATGTATATTGGGAATTTTATTCTTCGTAATTTCACCAATTTGTACAAGACACATTTTGGAACACTGCACAACTGCAAGTTTAACCTGTAAATGTCACTTTATGAACTTTACATAAATCGTCAAAATTAAATCTTCAAAATTTGGCCTATCGTAGTGAAAAGTTTTGGACATTCGCAAAACTTTTTTGGATCTAGATGCTCTGTAGTCCAATCTGAGGCATTTCCTGGCCACTTTCCCCTGACTTTTTGAATGAAATGTATTCCGTGTTTTAGTGGGTGGGTCATCAAATTTGATAAATTACATTACAAGCATCACATCAAAACTGTAGCTTGACTCTCTTTCTAGATGTCGCCATGCACAACATGTTAAGTTAAATGGAATTTAACCATGAATTTTAGTTTTCCTCAGACTTGTACTTGTGTTTTCTTAAAAAGAAGTGGTTTTTCTATAGCTGAGAAAATAGCAAGGAAGAACCGGTTTTGTGCAAGCAAAATTCAGGGAATAATCCGTCGATATTAAATATCTTGTTGGAAAATTCCAAAATCATTTCAAGAAAGTTGCCGCCGTGAATCAGAGTTAATGAAGGGGAAGGAAATTGGGATTTGCTATCAACAACAGCAAAGCCGTTCCTCATTCTTGACCTTTTATGGGATAGGAATCAAATTGGAGGACGAGAGGCTCTGTGGGCTGATGTGTATTTTTAGATTTTTTTTTGCAACCAGCTTGTAGGGAAGATTTCCGTTTATTTAAGACTTAATTCACCGGTATGGATACCAGTGTACGTACAATGATTGAGCTTCCGAGCGTATTTGTTAAGTTTTTTGCTCTTTCTAAAAAAAATACATCAGCTCCCAGAGTCTCTCGTTTTCCAATTGATTCACATCCCATAAGGTAAAGAATGACAAACGGCCTTGTTGATAGCAAATCCCACTTTCCGTCCCTTCATTAACTCTGATTGACGGCGGTAATTACTGTCTTTGAATGATTTTGGAATTTTCCAACAAGATATTAACTTCAACGGATTATTCCCTGAATTTTGCTTGCACAAAACCGGTTCTTCCTTGCTATTTTCTCATTTAGAAAACCACCTTTTTTAAGAAAACAAAAGTACAAGTCTGAGGAAAATGGTGGCGGCCAAACGCCATTCCGTTTAACTTAACATGTAGGCCTAGTGGCGACATGTTTGATTACGCTTTCCCTTTAAACACAAACACAAAACAAAACAAAACACACAAAGAAAACAATAAAAATGTGGGGGAGGGCAACGGGGGCCATGCCCCCCCCCCCTAAAAAAATGAACTCTTTTTTTTAGTGGCGTCGCAATAAAGGCAGACACTGCGTACACCACCATCTCTTCCTTTAAAAAAAAATGGTTCAAATGGTCAGAAATTGCCTGCAGATCGCACCACAGAGTATCTAGAAACCCCCAAAAAAAATTTTAAAAATGGGGGTCCTTTTTTGGATCCACTTTTTGGGGGACCAAATCCCCCCCCCCCCCCCTCCAAACAAAATGTGATCTGGATCCGCCCTTGGGGCCATGCAAGGCCTTGTATACATTAAAAAAAATATGCCTGTTATTATTGGTACGGCTGTAGCCGTACCTGCCGTACCGCTTCCTACGGCCTTGCAACGTGTCACAGACTCCCGCCTTGTGGTTCTGGAACGCACAAAATAATATTCCGGAACCGGACTTTAAACGCATTTTCCAATCCGTGGTTTCATCATTGGCTTTGGGCGATTTCTTATTAAGCTATAGGATTCCAACGCCGTCTAAATGTATACCCTCCTTTTAAAAATCAAATAGATACTTGCCCACTTTTAAAAATTCAGAAATATGTGTATAATGCAGTTTGGTTTTGATGTTGTCAGCGATCAGCAACACCTCATGTGCGAGCTTGTGCGGTTCAGTTTCTAAAGAATGAGTGTCATATTTGGTAGAATTCTGTATTCCATTGTACAACACTGTATTTATTCCTGGATGAATCCATACAACCATAGAGTGCTGGGGCGGTTTGGGGCGGTATAAGGAGTAACAGGCAGGGAACTTTGAGGGGCAGGGACTAATGGGTTCATTGGATTATGCTTAGTGCTTTTTTTAATCATTTGGATAATGGCTAAGTGAACATGCTTCTATAGACGAGCTACGTTCATTTATCATTGATTATCTGGTGATCCTAAATTGAAGGTTATGCGACTCTGCAAATATCACAAGAAGGAAGATTGTGTTGACTTACCAATGGCTATGCAGGCAGCTGTGATAAAGAACGCCAGGATGTGGGCTCAACGTGGCTCATCCCCCGGCCTAGAACCAGCAGCACAGAACTCTAACTTGGGCAAAATCTTGTCCTTGTACAAAGCCTTCAGAAAAAAGAAAAAAACAGTCAATTGTTATTCAATGATCGTTAACTTGGTTATCGTTAAGATCGCAGTAAATCATTAAGTTAACACAACCTAGATATACCTCGTTAAATCTGACACCGTGGCAGCGAGGAGATTTCGACCTTTCTATGAATATGCCTTTGCATGAGCATGACGACTATTTATAAAAGATATAGACATTTTGTATATATCATACTCGTCAATAGGGATAGTCAGTTGAAAGAGCTTGGGACAGGTGTGTACAAATTTACGCGCAAGACCCAGACTTTGTTTTTAAGGGAATTACTGAGAAAACAACCATATTGGCAATGAGGATATTTTTATTTTGGAGTAGATTAACCATCTTGGTTAGGAGGATATTTTTTAGAAGGGTATTATTTAGAAGGGTATTAAGGAGGAAACTAACCATATTGGCTGGGAGGACATTTTTTCTAGGAGGGAATCATTGAGAGGACTAACCATCTTGCCTAGGAGGATATTTTTTTAGAAGGGAATTATGGAGGAGACTACCCATCTTGGGTAGGGGGATATTTTTTGAAAGGAATTAAAGCGTTTTATAGCCGAACAAGCAGAAGCCGAAATGAAGATCAGTACACTGGTTCACTCATGCTGGCCAGCATGTATATAATGTATGGGTACCAGCATTTACAAGCCACAATAGCGCCTAAAGGGCCCTCATTTATAATTTCCACTGTATGGGGGTACTTGAGCGCAAGAAGGAGATTCTACCTTCTCTTTGAGCGTAGTGACTCCTTCCTTGCTGATCTTCCAAGAAAACTTTTCTGTGGTCTCTCCTACTTCCTCATCCAGCATCCAGGGTTTACAGCTCCTTGAACCGTCTCAAGCTCTCCTCGCCGGGAAGGGGGGGGGGGGGGGGGAGAGGCAAGGTAAGGTGCCCCCCCCCCCCCCCCCCCCCCTTCCTCTCTCTGGATACGCCACTGCTGCATGGTGAAGTATTGAATTTTAGGTTTTTCACGTTGAGACAAACGAAAAGTGTCACTGAGATTTGGAACAGCATTGATCAAACCCTTAATATGGCTTGATATGTGGCCAGGTGTACTCAATGTGACCGTGCGGTTTTCTAAAACACCGCGCAGGCCACAGAATCCCCTCAAATCGTGTTTACTGAGGGCCCGATGTGACGGTACTTGTGGAGCTGTTGGCGGTTTAATTTGAACGGGACACACTGAAAACACAGCACAACTAATCAATGTTGATACAAGACACTCGCAACTTATTTACAATGGTGTTTTTAATGCAATCTTTAAAAATGCACCTTCGTGTCCCATTTAATCCTATTTTCAATTTTTGTTTTGCCATTTTCAAGGGTATTTTGGTTAATTTTTGTTTACGCTGTTGTGAATTTTCATATTCATGAACAAAAGTGTGATGTCATTACAAGCAATAAACCACAATGTCACAGCTACGTCAGCACCAAATGTTGCCAGAATTTGGGATATTTAATCGCTGTCATATTTTATCTTTTCTTTGGTGATTTGTTGATGTGTCTGTACATGGCAGTATTAACCAATGAGCAAACTTTTCTCACAAATGTTTCCATGAACAAAGTTTTGGGTTCAAAACTGAAAAGTGTCTTCCTGATATGACATCACAGCAACAGCGCCCTCAGTTGTCTGAAAAAGCATGGACAATGTTAAAGAAGTGCACTTTCACATAAAATTAACCAAAAAGGGATCTCAAATAATATTCATATATTTAAGAGTGGAAATTTAGTTGCATAAAATGTTTCTTAGAATTCACTACAGGGACGTTTAAGTAAAAGTATTGCCATTGAACTTGTGACACAGTTTTTAGATTGCCGCACGATTCCAAAAAAAGTCGGGCAACAGTATTTTCAAAATGGTGGGCGGAGGTGATTCAACAGCTGTTTCATGAAAAAACAAAATCATACACAAACAGCCGTTGTAAATACTGTTATTATCCTCGTCCAAGATGTTTAGGTTTAAAAAGTTGCGCAGCTCTGCCAAGTTTTGTGAATCGTTTTGTTAAGTTTATTGCGCAGCTGTGCCATTGTGTACGTCCTACGCATTGCATAAGTTACGCACTGTTTCGTGAAATGGACTGCTGGTCCTTCCTTACTCCCTTTTTGTAGCCAAGCGAGGGGGCACTTCCGCACAGATCTCGATAGCAACAGTGTCTCAAGTCTGGAGAGTTGAAAGTTCAAATGTCAACAAGTCAGTGGACCAGTTATTTTCCTAATTTCAAGTGCAAATTAAAGAGATCACTCACTAATGCCTCACTATTCAGCCAAATGACAGCAAGCATACTACACAAGTGAACGACTTCTCCAAATTCTGCAGTTTCTTTAGCGCATTCCTGTGCCTGAGGTCTGCCGAGTCTCGGTCTGCACTCTCCTGCACCGATCTGCCCAGGGTGAAGTTATCGCAGCCGTACTCCCCGCCCCCAAAGAACCCCACAAGGGGCGTGTCGGGGAAGACCTCATGAAAGGCTCCGCTTTCCACATCCTCGGCCTGGTAGAAATGGCGCCCTCGCCCAACGCAGCTGAACAAGAAAGCCAGGCTGTGTTTCCCTGGCAATCCCAACTTCTTGAGTTCCTGGAATTTTGAGCGAGCTTTGTCCCGGGCGGTGACACTGTTATCAAGAACCACAGATGCTGCCCTAACGTTGGGTCCAGAGAACGTCACTGTCAGACAACTGGGCAGTTTCTTGGAGTTTGTTCCCCTGCAAAGAGTGCAATTTGACATTATTTAATCCAGCAATACCCATGATGATACTAACCATGGTCAGCTATATGATCCATCTGGAATCTGCAAAGTATGTCTCTCCAGAAACATGTTCTAATAGAGACACGTCCAAGTCTACATGTTTGACGTTGTTTTTGCTTTCTATTCCTGGTCCAAGAGAGCCAGCTTATAGTCCGCCCTGCCCTGCAAACAGGACCCTGGGATACTCTGAGGAGCTTCACAGAATCTTGTGAAGGAAATGACCTATGACCTATGTATAAAGCATCTGACTGCAGCTGTTCAAGACTGCAGTTAGACAATGGGCGCAAATGCTATCCAAAAACTTCCCACAGAAATGCACACATTTCATACCGGATGTGATTTCTTTTTCATAGCGGACTATGTGGACACATTTTGAGCGTCGCATAATGCAATCATTGACCGAAACGGAGCCTGAGCAAGAGAACGGGAATCGCAAATATCATACATTATATCGCTTTTTAATGATAACAAAAGCATTTATGAACTGGAATAAAAGGGTAATGAATCAGTCTTAACGGCCGTTTGAAATTGAAACCTTGCAGGATCATGGCCGTGATGACTCGCACGTCACAGGTCACGCGAAATCTATCCAATCAGAGCGTGAATTCATCAGCCTTTCCCAGCGTCCTGTTTTCAGGGCGGGGGGTATACGAGCGAACACAACGGTCTGCACACGGTCCGCCTCCACAGACAACACAGACTGTGTTAGTGTGTACAAAAGGCACAAGGTATTAGCGTGTTTGGACATCACCCAGAGGCAATTTGAAGCAATCTTGATGTCTATAACCCGTCATAGCCATACCTGTGCACAAACACAGCCAGTGTGTGTTATCACGGCCTCCGGCGCGAACTGGTTAATACTTACGTTTCGTTAGTACGAGTCTGATCAACCATGCCGACGTTTCGTGCGATCCCACCAGCGATGACAGGCATCGTGCCAAACTCCTCCTGGAAGCCATGCTGCAAGAGTTCAAGGAAGCGGCCCCCTCTCTGGGGGCCCCCGCTACTGAAGACCAGAACGCATTTGGTGTCTGCTGGCATGCCATGCCTCGCAACGTAGGCCTCCATCTCTGACCTGGTTAATTTGTTGCGATAGTGTCGCTGGCATTCCACCGTCACTCCATCCATGTTGGGCAGCAGGACACAGGCCGTTCCCCAGCTACCCTCGGTTTCCCCCGCAGGGCTCAGATCAGGCTTGCATCCTGAAAACAATCACCAAAGTTTCTGATTCAATTGATTCAGAAGGAAGTTCTTTAAAGCCCAAGTCCATCATTTGCAGCTATCCAAAAAAGTAACTGGCGTAATTAGTGTTGAAAAACATACTGGTTGAAAGATAGTATGGGGACTAAACTCCCTGTGAAATTATCCTTTCTGGCAAGCTCTCATTTTGAAGAAATCAACGAAAGAAGGCATTTCCAACCGTAGGAAAATTTAAATTAGTTGTTCGTTTTGTTAATCGGCGCAGCGCGCACAAGCATTGGAACGACGCACAGGCGCGCGCGGTTGCTATAATTCGTCGGATCAGTGCGCGACATCGCGTAAAGCTGTAATTCAAAACAATTCAAAACATGATTTAGCAACTTTTGATTTGAAATTGAGATCCTAGAATGCTGTTTTTCTCAGAATATAAAGCTGAAGCTGAGCTGAAACTTCATCAAGTAATAAGTTGTTCAGTATCCTTCATTAGATTTTGAACACTTTTGTTGCTTCAAACGAACAAAATGCACTAATTACAAATGATGGACTATAACTTTAATGCGTTTGTGTACGAAATGGGCCTGGTTGAACCCATTCATTGGCATTATTGGGTAATCCCATTTGACAGCACTGCCAGCTGACAAGTGGCAGTACGTCAGTCCATGAGTCAGTGAGATACCGGTAGGTACAAAGAAGACTTTCAGTGTACCTAACCAAAATAGAATGTGTCATGACTAGCAACAGGGACTAGCTTAGAAATGGGTGGGCAGCCGTGTTAGTCGGGCAGTGTTGCGTCACTTGTGTGTGCCTCACTATAACTGTGTAGCTCTAAAGAGGCCTGGGTTTGTTGCTCCATGCTTTTACTTACAAAACAATAACACTACAGAAACACAGTGACATAAATCCATAGAGCCGCGGGGGGTACGGTAGGAGCATAGAGCTATATTTAATTACTAGAGTGCTAACTTCGTGTACAAAGTAATGCCTGCTGGGCGCATCGATGTTTGTGCACAAACATATGGAGACCTAGAAATTTTGTACGGCTTTTGTACGGCTATTTGCATATCTGCATTTGTATTCCAAACCGGTGCGTTATCAAAGCCAATACGCCCAAAACCGAAACGCACGATCAGCAATTGAGCATGTCATTTTGCTCTACGCAAACAGCGCAATGCATGCGCGTATTCGCTGCAGATGCTTTTGCCGTAACGTTTTTTTTTTAACCGTAATGACGCGCTTTAGTTGTTTGCGCATGTTCTACTTGCGCGTTGCATGTAGAGTACACTTTCAAATTTCAATCCATGTAATTTCATTATGTTCTACAAACATGCACATAAATTCAAAATGTCTGCGCCCATGCAGGATGGCTCGAAAGCGTCTCCGCGCGCAGAGTGAGGAGTTAGCGCTCTAGTAATTTAATATAGCTCTATGCATAAATCAGACCTAGGACCCAGGCCAGTAGAGTAACCCTGGAGGTCATGACAGGTTGCCTGAGTCTATAATGACTTCACCAGATACCATGAACACTAAACCACACCAAGTTTGGTTGAGATTGCTGACTGATCACGTACAAAACAATAACCTTCACGACACTAGAGAAACAACTTGACTTATGGCCTAACTCAAGGGCTACCTACATGTAGGACCAGGGCCTGGCCTGTCATGACCTGTTGTCTGAGTCTAATCACTTTAGCAGATCCCATGAGCAACAGCCACATTGATGACAGTACTTTCAGTTAGCCTTACCATACACACACACGGACACACAGAAGGAATACACGATCACAATATCTCCATACGGCTTAAACGCCAGGGGGATAAATGGGAACCAGTACCGGCCAATTTCGGTATGGATACCCATGTATACCCCACCCCTATTAATTACATGTACTCCCTCCTCACCCATTGTGCCGTCAGAATGCACGAACACGACGGAACTTTCCACTGGCAATTTGGAGCGGACAGCTTCCAGCGATTTCTGTAGCGTTTTTCTGGTGCCACTGGAATTGGCTTCCTCGCGCCCAAAATCGGTTCCCTCCTGGAATTCGTCCAACGACAGACATTCTGAGAACACGATGGCATGGCGGGGTAGGCTTCCAAGGGTCTGCATCAGAAACGGACAACCACAATAGGACAAAGGTAATGATACTGACGCCACTATACGATATGTACACCAAATTAGGTACCGTGAACTGGGGTTCATGGTAGTCATGGTAAAAAATGTGAGACTCAATATTGTATGAGAGTCAGAAAATGTAAGATAAAGAAAACATGCAATACAAGAAAATAGACTAGCACATGAAATAACCAGTCCAACAACCCTTTAATACAGTACTGCATCAATCAACTGTGTCAACAGAAACATCTGGTACCTATGGACTCCGTGCACAAGTACCCCATCAACGGCCAGAAAAGGAGAGTTGGGGTTACCTAGACTGGTTCCCAATCCATCCACTGCGTATTTCTAATGTATGCAAAGTTATTGGAGGCTGGTTTGGTCTCGGAGACCATCGCAAGTTGATTTTGAAAGTATTCGCGCGCCGACGATGCCTGACGCTCACGCGATGCGACGGTGGTGCGACTATAACTTTTGCACATTCAGGAAGTTGTACGTACTGCACGCGCGAACCAGTACAGTACAGTATGCACACGCTGTGTGTCCCATCAACGGAGCTCTCAAAAGAGGTAAAAACGCGCCCTCTTTTGTCGCATTACGGAGCCCATAGTTTCTATTTCTACACATTTTTGTAGTCATACCACCAGACTACTGATGAGGGGTCAATTTTATTTTCAAAAAAGTTGGACATGCAACTAGTTTTAGACCTCAAATTCAAATCGCTTGGCTTCACTCTCAGGTGCAACATGTTAAAGAAAAGTCTCTCGAGACTTACAAAATTGAATTGAGACCTAGAGTTTGGCTGGTGAAATACTGAGGACCTTGTCTTTGCCTTATGACAGTTTTGGAGAATTTTGTCAGCGAAAGAGTGAGCAATATTGGCCTACTTTTGTTTTGCATGTTTTTCAGCACTCAAGGTGTCAGGTCTCTGTCGGAGTTGTAATGAGTCACTGTTTTTGTGACTCGAGTCGAGTCGAGTCATTAGGGCAAGAAGTTTGAGTCGAGTCGAGTTACAGTGTGTAGTCGAGTAGAGTCGAGTTGAGTCAAGTATTTAGCTCGAGCAAATTTGAGTCACAAATATTTGAACAGTATATACAATAAATAAACACAAGAGAGAAAATCAATTTTGGCGTTTTGAATTTTACACTCCGGCTACTACATGTGGTGGCACCACATTTGACTCTCAATGAAATGAAAACGGGGTGCCAGGTGATCGCCATTCAACTAATGTATGTTATATGTATACATTATTAGCGAACATTCTAACGTGTCATGAACAAAACCGACACTGGCGTAAGTCATTGCAAATATTTTTCACAAAGTTTTATTTTTGAGACTCGAGTCTTGTAAGCCTTCCTTGAGTCGAGTCATTCTCAGGATGAGGAACTCGAGTCGGGTTGAGTCATTTACTCGCAGGGACTCGAGTCGAGACATTTGCCCTTAGGGACTCAAGTCGATTCACCAAAATTGTGACTTGAGTCAGACTCGAGCCGAGCCATTGAATCAAGACAATACAACTCTGGCTTCTGGTTGGCTGTACATGTACCTTAAGGCAAGCATTCAGATGAGCTCCAAATGGCCCGAGTTGATCCTCATTCCCATGACTGACTTCCTCAGCCTCGATTCTACCAAACGTTGCCCAACCTATCTCCTCTCTGTGATGCAAAACTCGCTTCACCTCTGCGTACCATGCTTTGCACACTCTAAAGAAAAGGAAAACACATATTTTTGTATCAAAGAAAAAGTTCACACAGTTTGTAAGTTTTGTAAAAACTGAAAAACTTTATCCAGATGCTACTTTGTCCATTGTATTTGTAAACAAAGTTGGGCACAAGCAGTCAATTGCGCTGTGCTCGATTTGGACCTAACTCACCCGGAGTGGAACTTTGGTACCCGCCATACAAGCTTGTACGGAGGGTACCTAGCACTCCACTCTGTAGAGCTAAGTTGGACCCAACTTACTGCCTTTTTAACATTTCGACATGGTCTGGCAAAGCTGTGGCCAGACCATGTCGAATGTTAAAAAGGCAATAAGTTGGGTCCAAGTTACTCGGACTTATATAAGTCGTCCTGAACAGTCGACTAACGTAAATGGTTCCTTCACGGCTAGATGTAGGGGTTGGAAAAAATGTTGCAACCTGACACAACGTTTTTCTTCATATAACCTATCATCTCAATGAAGGTCAGTTATTGCAAAAATGATGATAAGACTAGTAAACTGGCCACATTTATGGGACCAGTCAGGTTGCAACATTCTTTCCTAAAAGTAATTTTCTATCGAGTATAAAGAGGGCGAGTAATATGCTTCTAAAGCGTAAATCAACTACAAACATGACAAATAAAGCCTAAATAAAAAATGTGAAAATCAAAATTTGACAAAGTTCTACAAGTACAAACAAAGTTCTCCTATTCGGATCGGGTACTCCTAGCCCCACTGGTGTGGCCGCGGTATGCTGCGCTGAACCTCTGGCCACACACCGTGGTAACGCGCACTACTGAGGACGTTTTCATACAATTTTCAGGCAGTTTCTTACATATGGTTGTATTCTATGATGTCCCATCTATCACTTCTGGGATGCTAAGGTGTAATGATGTTCAATTTTCCGAGATATTCTTGAATCTTTCTGGAGCCCATATGCACTCGTGAAACGTCTGGTGATGGCAGCCATTTTGAATGTGACAAGAGATGACCTCAAGCTGTGACGTCGCGTTTATGCAAATTGCTTGTCGAGCGAGGGCGCGAGTTGCAAATGCGACGGCTGTTTCCTGTACCATGCATTTATCGTCTGGGGCCACGTGCAGTCATCTCTATTCAGGTTCAGCGCAGCATACCGCGGCCACACTAGTGGGGCTAGGGTACTCCTAGAATTATGAGGCTCCACGTACTCCTCATAGTTCTAGGAGTACGGATCGGGTACATCACCCCATCATGTACATGTTCCAAGCATGCCAAGTGTGGCCGAATTTACGGAGTTAGTCCAGACAATTTTTTAGTCCGAGTAACTTGGACCCAATTAACTTATCGCCTTTTTTAACATTTGGAGGTGGTCTGGCGATACTATCGCCAGACCATGTCCGAATGTTAAAAAGGCGATAAGTTTGGTCCAAGTTACTCGGACTAACAATTTTTATGGGGCTAGTACTAGTGACAGTACTGTGCCTAGGCCCTATGCCTTTTTTGTGCAAAAATTTCACTGTTTTATGTGAACTAAATCAATCAATCAATGATTAATACCCAGAGCAAATCCCTAATGTTTTCGCCGGCAAAAATGAAAAAGTTCTCCGGATGAACTCCTGGCTCTCAGTCAGAATCCAGCAACTCGAGAAATTTGGTGAATTTCCACCTTGAAAATTCCCATCTCGCTCCATTTCGCCCCGTAGTTTCTTCATGCGGAAGACCAAAAATGCAAAATGAAGGACAATACTAGTTTACACAATTATTTCACTCGCATTCGCAAAACCAAAACAACAGCTGAAAATGACAGGCGTAGAGTTCAAAGGTCACAAAATAATTAAGTTATGGATATAAAAATATAACATGTTTTCCATCATTTTAGAAATAACTATATTCCAAAATTTAGAATAAAAGAAATATGAATATGTTTTTATTCAGATTGAGGTCGTAAAATCCATAGCCAAATAAACATATTTATATTTTTGAAAGTTATTGTTTTTATCAGTTTGGAACGAGCCATGTTGTCAGAGAAACGAAATGGGCGCTGCCATTTTGACAGTTTTGGACGAGTGGCTTGTTGAAGTTCATTAAAATTTCATTTTTGACCGTTTCATTGAAGTAAATGCAAAATCTTCAGGAAAACTAAATGTATGGGAAACACGTGAAACTTTCTGATAACAATAATGGGCCATGGAGCCAGCACGAATGTGAAGAAATTAACGATCAGTCAGAGTGCTCACGGATCACCGAGGAAGTCGAATGGGGAAGCGGGAGCAGCGGACGAAGAAAGGGCGCCGTCCCCGGCGAAACTCGGGTAGGCTACGCGCTGCGCCACGCTCGCCTAGCGCGGTCGGGGCTTGGGGGGGGGGGGGGGGGGGGTCAGACAACTCGACCGTTGTTGAGACAACGGAAAAAAATATTGCAACCTGACGCTAGGCCTACCTTCAAGATTGGAACAGAAAAATACCATACTTTTTTGCTTATCTTCAGATCTTGTTCTCACTCAGACTGAGAGAGTCAGAGAGACAAGGAAATGTAGGACTAGGAATGTGTTGATAAACTAAGTAATAGTCTTTAACTAGAGAGATTTGTAGGCAAATGTGTGGCCAACTTAGTTAATTCGAAGTGGCTATAGTTACAGCAGCTGTTGTTTAGCGCCCTCTACGATACTTTTTTGATACACACGCAGGTATATAATTATTTGTTTCCCCACGTTTTAGCGAGCAGTGCGACAGCTCAGTCGATAGAGGGTAGGATTTTGCACCGTGAGGTTGCGGGTTCGCATCTCAGTTTTGCACTCGAATTTTTTTCCTTTTCTAACCTGAGGCTTTGGAGGATTTTTTTTTAAAGGGAAATAAAGTCCGAATTTCATAACGTTCAAATTCACTTTTTTTTTTCCTTCTAATGTTATATTTTCTTCTCATATTTTTATAAAAGTTGCAGTCTACCGTAATGATAGAAAATGGGAAGCGCGTTACGGCTGCCGTAACAATAGCCACTGCGTAGTTAATTTGTACATGTCATGCATCGGTTGAGGGCTTCAACTGCGATAATACTAGGGCGTCCTGTCTAAGTAGCAACCAAGATCTGTCATCAAAATGTAAACAAAAACAAACATTTTTCATTTCCATTGTTTGTTGTGATTTTCCTTTCTAAAATTCATTCTTATCAAAGGTGGACAAGATCTAGCTCAGATGGATGCATTGTTGAAAACCTGAATACAAGTAAAACCAAGGTAAGTCATTGTGGTAACACAAAAGATTCGCTTGTACCCCCGCTCTAAAAACAGGGCGCTGGGGAGGTCTGATGAGCTGCACAGAATCTTGTGAAGGAAAAGGACCTGGCATTCTGGGTAACTTATCCTGACCTATGTATTGACACATCTGGCTGCAGCTGTTTAAAACCGCAGTTAGCTAATGCGCGCAAATGCTATCCTAAAACTCTTTCATAGAAATGCACGCATTCCATACCAGATGTGTAATTTACATAACTAAGCCTTGCCAAGAAAAAGATTGATGTCCAAGACGTTTTTATAACGATGAATATGTGTAACTGTTTGTATTCATTTATTGTTGTTGTTTCAATTGCTGTTCTTAAAATCTGTTGTTGATGTGTAGGTAGAGCTCTTGGAACAGCAATTGGAAGAATTCAAGGAGCTGTTCCGTCATGCGGATGTGAAAGCTGAAGAAGCCCATGCTAGGGCTGTTACACTTGAGCAACAGGTAGGATACATCCTGGACAGGATACCATGATGCTAAACTTGTTATCATTGGGTGAGGGTCAGAGAACATCTCAGAAGTCAGAACGATCCTGTTCCGTATGAAACATTCCTTTTTAGGAACACTGTGTGTTCAGGCCATTCCTGAGTAATCAAGCACGTGAGATCACCAGCCGTTCCTGGGCTGTTCCAGTAAGAACAATGCATGTTCCTATAACAGGCGCTTGTACCCTGGTTGAACTTTTGAAGCACCCTGACTTAACAAAACGACACAGATCAGTCTCAGGATCAAGCCTTAAAACAGTTAAAAATTACTTTATTTTCCTACCTACGCGACCTGCATAATTTCTTGGGTGTTACAGTAAACACAATTCTTTTTCACTTAATGTGACCTTTTTGGGGTGTAGATGGCAGAAGTTGAGGGCACCAACTTTGAGCTTCTAGATCGAGTATCAGAACTCGAGCAACAACTGGAGGAATCTAAGGACCAGACGTCACCTGACGCGGAGAGAGAATTTTCTCAAATGTTACTGGAGAAAGATCAAGTGAGAACTCTGTTTTGCGTTATTTTTTTACATTTTAGGACACTGATTCTCCTAAATTTGGTTTATTTTGAGTTTTGTGGCGTTCTCTTTCTTCAGATTGTTGAAAAGCAGGAACAGCAGATCAAAAGTTTGGAGGAAGACTTGGCGAAAATGGTGAGTTCTGTCGTGCTTCTACGTAGCACATTTGTTATAGAGATTCATGGCTTTGAAATAGTACTAGCCCTGCGTACAAATTCCAGTGACCATCGTTCCAGGCTACCCAAACTTGCTTCCTAATTGGTGAAAAAAATCTGTGAAAAATTAAGTGACCTAGCTGTTGAAATTTACATCAAAACACCTTTCGGTATTAATAAATATAGGATCACATTAAACCGAGTCATCATGTGGTTTTGTTTGTGTTTTACGGAGTGATAGTATGCGTGCGCAATACACTAGCAATCGCTGCACGAACAAAGGTTGGAGAAGCTTAGCACAGTATAGAGCTCGAGGTGGCGCAGCGCAGCGCGGCGAGGTACCGCACATATGTACACTAGTATTCGCGTTCACATCGTTTAGATTCGTGAGTATCAAGCAGACTTTTTGTTCTGTTTGTTGTTTTCTAATTTCAGCGCATCAAACTCAAGAAGAGGCTGCGGGCCGCGCAGACGAAATTGGCCGAGGCGAAACAGGAGGCGGGCCTCAAGGTCTACAGCCTGAAGGACCAACTCACGTCGCTGCAAGAGGAGAACGCAAAACTCACGGGTGAGCGGCTTTGTGGTTGAGTCCATCACAAGTCAGTCACGAGGAATGAGATTGATAATAAGAGAAGGAACGAGTCACATTTAGACTCGACTAAAAATCCAATTTCCCATCAAGCACCATGGACAAGTAGTTAGACAACTGCACAGAAGGTTGTGGGTTCGAGTCCCACTCAAGTTATAAGCCCTCAGAAAAAGCATCTAAAAAGGCCAACTACTCAAAAGCAGCTCTGGTAACTAAATTTGTGAGCAGTGCCTAGCTTTGCTAAAGTTCTTTTCCAAATTCATGATTTCATTTTTAGAGCGGTTGGACAGAGCTCATCAAGTTTCCAGTGCGCGGAGTCGTCAGTGTGGTGCCGTTCCCGCCACGCCCATTGATCGCATCACTGAAGACACGCCCACGGAAGATGACGGGGATTGGGAAGACGGTCGAACCAAAGTCATCTTGGAGATTTCTAGTCAGCTGAGTGCCCAAGAGCAAAGGATATCGGAACTAGAGGAGGCAGTCCGAGAACGGGAACAAACGATACAGACCCTGCGGGCACAACTGAAGGCACACCCCCGTCCTCCAAGTGGGTCACAGAAGAATCAAAGCGCAGCGTTCCGCTCTCGAAGTGCAGAGAAGAGATCAGAACTCCCTGTTGGTGATTCCTCAAAAGAGACTGCTAGCGACGAAGACGGATGTCACCAGTCTTCTGTGAGAAGGCAGAGAACCTCTTCATCATCTAGGAGAGAGGGTCATCGGAGCTCCTCGTCGGGGAGACGTGAAACATCACAGGAGCAGAGACCGACAGATAAACCATCAAATGGCAGTTATTCAAACCGTGAGATTAGGAATGTTAGTAGTGCCAGCAGTGGGAGATTGAGACAGCAATCGGCAAACAGTCTGGACTCGGCGATATCAGATCGCAGCGACTCAAGCAGCGCAAAGGCCTCCTCCGCTGGTTCCAGTCGGGAGAGACGCAGACTCAGAAACCAGCGAGTCCGTCAATCATCAGCCGACGAGAGGACCACTGCTCAGTCAGAAATCCAACTGCATGATAGGGATTCGGGAATCGGAATCACATCGGATGCGAAATTAAAAGACGATGATGATTTAGAGCAGATGATGGAAGACATTGTTGGAAACAGTTGATGGAAATAAATGCAATCTACTTTAAATCCAATTCTTCTCTATATCTGCCAAATTGAAGTGATAATAAATTCATATGAAATCAGGATTTTGTGGTAATGTCAGAGTGGATTTGCAGTAAATATTTGTCAAAGCCTTTCATCAGTCCAAATGTAGTCTCGGCCAAAGAGGCTAGTGATCGATAGTGGATGGTGCACATAGTGCTCCCTCTAGTGGCACAACAATAAGACCAGCGCGCCTACTCACCCTAACATCTTTGCCATTTCATTTCAGCGGTTTAATTTTTTCTATATTTTCTCCCTAGGCTTTCCTAGGGAAGCAATCAGCGATCAAGAAATGTTTGCCAGACAGTTGTAAACATAAAGACTATATACGTGCGGATCCTGGGGATGTGTAGCGCGCGCCGGCCGTGCACATGCTGTAGGCGCATGGTACGCGTATAGAGTAAGGTTGCAGACCAGTAAATCGGTCCGAAATTGCCTACGCGGCCAAATCACGATTTGCATGCCCTCAAAATCTTCAGTATTTGAGCATTCTGTGGGCCATGAACTTGAGGGTTTTAAAAAAATATGGGTGGGAGCCGTGCACAGCTACTGTGAGTTTGTAGTTCCGTTCAATTTTAATGAAACTGGGCCCTTTAAAGCGCTCTATTTTACCATAACGTGTAGGCATTGTTTTTCAAAATGACGATGGGCTTCAGGACAATTTTCAGGGGTGATCATCTTCGGATGGAAATTTCTCCTGAAAGTCATCAGTTGACCCCCCCCCCCCCAAAAAAAAAAAAAATGAATAGAAAATAAGATGACGAAATAAGCTTTAATTTGATGTGTGTCTCGAACACCGTGGAGAATTGTGAGTATTTTTCCCAAAAATCCAAAGTGGGAGCATTTGCCATAGTGGTCTAGGGAAGTTTATTTACTGGCCTGCAACCATATAAGTCCGACACACTCATCAGTCAGATGTCGGAAAATTTCTTTTCAAAACGCAGACCGTTTGGCTTTAAAAACGGCGAAATTGTGTAAAAATAGCCAAACACCAACTCCCTGATTATTGGGCCTCCATCTGAACGCAGGCTTGATAAAATTACGGTTGAAAAATTGGTCCTATTTGCCTGAGAAAATGGATGGATGCAACTTGTAAAATGGCTACATGCAGGCTTGGGAACGATGTACATACGTCTGGGGCTCACTCCAAAAGTGTCAAGTCTGAAGCCTTGCCGATTTGTCAGCTTGTTGGCCCATTCATCCGCTATCCAACAAGCTATAGTTTGTCAAAATCCATCGATGTTAAGGTACCTTTAGACGGCGACACATGAGAGCCATGTCGGCTGGCGCTGACAGCCCTTGCTATGGGACTTACTGCACAAAAACGAATCTGGGGGCATCATGTACCTACGTCTGGAGCTCACTACAAAAGTTTCAAATCTGAAGCCTTGCCGATTTTTCAGCTTGTTGGCCTATTCATCCGCTATCCAACAAGCTATAGTTTGTCAAAATCCATTTATGTTAAGGTACCTTTAGACCGCGACACATGAGAGCCACGTCGGCTTGCGTTGACAGCCCTTGCCATAGGACTTACTGCACAAAAACGAATCTGGGGGCATCATGTACATACGTCTGGGGCTCACTCAAACAGTTTCAAGTCTGAAGCCTTGCCGATTTGTCAGCTTGTTTGCCTATTCATCCGCTATCCAACAAGCTATAGTTTGTCAAAATCCATTCATGTGAAGGTACCTATAGACCGCGACACATGAGAGCCATGTCGGCTGGCGCTGACAGCCCTTGCTATGGGACTTACTGCACAAAAACGAATCTGGGGGCATCATGTACCTACGTCTGGAGCTCACTACAAAAGTTTCAAATCTGAAGCCTTGCCGATTTGTCAGCTTGTTGGCCTATTCATCCGCTATCCAACAAGCTAAGTTTGTCAAAATCCATTTATGTTAAGGTACCTTTAGACCGCGACACATGAGAGCCACGTCGGCTTGCGTTGACAGCCCTTGCCATAGGACTTACTGCACAAAAACGAATCTGGGGGCATCATGTACATACGTCTGGGGCTCACTCAAACAGTTTCAAGTCTGAAGCCTTGCCGATTTCTCAGCTTGTTTGCCTATTCATCCGCTATCCAACAAGCTATAGTTTGTCAAAATCCATTCATGTGAAGGTACCTATAGACCGCGACACATGAGAGCCATGTCGGCTGGCGCTGACAGCCCTTGCTATGGGACTTACTGCACAAAAACGAATCTGGGGCATCATGTACCTACGTCTGGAGCTCACTACAAAAGTTTCAAATCTGAAGCCTTGCCGATTTGTCAGCTTGTTGGCCTATTCATGCGCTATCCAACAAGCTAAAGTTTGTCAAAATCCATCCATGTTAAGGTACCTTTAGACCGCGACACATGAGAGCCATGTCGGCTAGCGTTGTCAGCCCTTGCTATGGGACTTACTGCACAAAAACGAATTTGGGGGCATCATGTACCTACGTCTGGGGCTCACTCAAAAAGTCTCAAGTCTGAAGCCTTGCCGATTTGTCAGCTTGTTGGCCTATTCATCCGCTATCCAAAAAGCTATAGTTTGTCAAAATCCATCTATGTTAAGGTACCTTTAGTCCGCGACACATGAGAGCCATGTCGGCTGGCGCTGACAGCCCTTGCTATGGGACTTACTGCACAAAAACCAATCTGGGAGCATCATGTGCCTACGTCTGGGGATCACTCCAAAAGTTTCAAGTCTGAAGCCTTGCCGATTTGTCAGCTTGTTGGGCTATTCATCCGCTATCCAACAAGCTAAAGTTTGTCAAAATCCATCTATGTTAAGGTACCTTTAGACCAGACACATGAAAGCCATGTCGGCTGGCGCTGACAGCCCTGCTATGGGACTTACTACACAAAACGAAACTGGGGGCATCATGTACCTACTTCTGGGGCTCACTCCAAAAGTTTCAAGTCTGAAGCCTTGCCGATTTGTCAGCTTGTTGGCCTATTCATCCGCTATCCAACAGCTATAGTTTGTCAAAATCCATCTATGTTAAGGTACCTTTAGACCCAGACACACGAGAGCCATGTCGGCTGGGCGCTGAAAGCCCTTGCTATGGGACTTACTGCACAAAAACGAATCTGGGGGCATCATGTACCTACGTCTGGAGCTCACTACAAAAGTTTCAAATCTGAAGCCTTGCCGATTTGCAGCTTGTTGGCCTATTCATCCGCTATCAACAAGCTATAGTTTGTCAAAATCCATTTATGTTAAGGTACCTTTAGACCGCGACACTTGAGAGCCATGTCGGCTGGCGCTGACAGCCTGCCATAGGACTTACTGCACAAAACAGAAGGGGCATCATGTACTACATCTGGGGCTCACTCCAACAGTTTCAAGTCTGAAGCCTTGCCGATTTGTCAGCTTGTTGGCCTATTCATCCGCTTCCAAAAAGCTATAGTTTGTCCAAATCCATTATGTTAAGGTACCTTTAGACCGCGACAACATGAGAGCCATGTCGGTGGCGCTGACAGCCCTTGCTATGGGACTTACTGCACAAAAACGAATCTGGGGCATCATGTACCTACGTCTGGGGCTCACTCCAAAAGTCACAAGTCTGAAGCCTTGCCGATTTGTCAGCTTGTTGGCCTATTCATCCGCTATCAAAAAGCTATAGTTTGTCAAAATCCATCTATGTTAAGGTACCTTTACTGAGTCCGGATACATGAGAGCCATGTCGGCTGGCGCTGACAGCCCATGCTATGGGACTTACTGCACAAAAACCAATCTGGGGGCATCATTGCCTACGTCTGGGGATCACTACAAAAAGTTTCAAATCTGAAGCCTTGCCGATTTCTCAAGCTTGTTGGCCTATTCATCCGCTATCAACAAGCTAAGTTTGTCAAAATCCATTCATGTTAAGGTACCTTTAGCTCCGACACATGGGAGCCATGTCGGTGGCGCTGACAGCCTTGCTATGGGACTTACTGCACAAAAACGAAAGAAGGGGCATCATGCTACCTACTTCTGGGCTTTCTCCAAAAGTTTCAAATCTGAAGCCTGCCGATTTGCATGCGGGTTGGCCTATTCATCCGCTTCAAAAGCTAAGTTTGTCAAGATCCATCCAGGTTAAGGTACCTTAGGCCCAGGCACATGGGAGCCATGCGGTTGGCGCTGACAGCCCTCCCTATGGGACTTACTGCACAAAATGGAAAGAAGGGGCATCCGCTGCTACTTCTGGGATTTTCTCCAAAAGTTTCGGGTCTATCGACCTGCCGATTTGCATGCGGGTTGGCCCATTCATCCGCTTCAAAATGGTACCGAGTTTGTCCAGATCCATCCAGGTTAAGGTACCTTCAGGCTGCGATACATGGGAGCCATGCGGGTTGGCGCTGACAGGCCTCCCTATGGACTTACTGCACAAAATGGAAAGAAGGGGCATCCGCTGCTACTTCTGGGATTTTCTCCAAAAGTTTCGGGTCTATCGACCTGCCGATTTGCATGCGGGTTGGCCCATTCATCCGCTTCAAAATGGTACGAGTTTGTCCAGATCCATCCAGGTTAAGGTACCTTCAGGCTGCGATACATGGGAGCCATGCGGGTTGGCGCTGACAGGCCTCCCTATGGGACTTACTGCACAAAATGGAAAGAAGGGGCATCCGCCGCTACTTCTGGGATTTTCTCCAAAGGTTTCGGGTCTATCGACCTGCCGATTTGCATGCGGGTTGGCCCATTCATCCGCTTCAAAATGGTACCGAGTTTGTCCAGATCCATCCAGGTTAAGGTACCTTCAGGCTGCGATACATGGGAGCCATGCGGGTTGGCGCTGACAGGCCTCCCTATGGGACTTACTGCACAAAATGGAAAGAAGGGGCATCCGCCGCTACTTCTGGGATTTTCTCCAAAAGTTTCGGGTCTATCGACCTGCCGATTTGCATGCGGGTTGGCCCATTCATCCGCTTCAAAATGGTACCGAGTTTGTCCAGATCCATCCAGGTTAAGGTACCTTCAGGCTGCGATACATGGGAGCCATGCGGGTTGGCGCTGACAGGCCTCCCTATGGGACTTACTGCACAAAATGGAAAGAAGGGGCATCCGCTGCTACTTCTGGAATTTCTCCAAAA